TCCAGGAACTCACTGCTGCTCCATCCTTCTCCAACCCCCTGGTACTCCATCTGCCTACATACATACACACATACATATATTAAAACAAAAACAAGATGGGAGCCAAATATATTGTTTTTTATTGAACTCACTGGGCTCAAGAGCAGCAACAAAAAAAGGAGGCGGGGGTGGTAGTGTGGATGGAACAAGAGCTGGGGAGAGACCCTATAAACACCCAAGCCAGGAAGCCTGGTCCTGAGAACTGCAGCTAGAGGTCCAGGTAAGCTAGGATCTAATTCTAACTCTCTCCTTAAAGATGCTGGGATCAGAGAGGACCACATGGCAGATCTAGGGCATACATCCTTTCTTGCCCAGCTTCCAGGCTCTTCCAGAGAAGGAAGTTGGATTGGTTAGTCCTAGGCTTGGAAGAACATAGAAACAAAAAGAAAAGAAAAAAGAAAAAGAGTTTGGGAATGGGGGAGGATTGGAAAGGAGAGCTCAGAGTCCCAAGCTGGGGGTCCCAAAGGGAGTGGGTAGATTTTGACAGAAGGAAGTATGAGGCTGACCAAAGTAGAGAAAGGGGTAAATGAGGTTCCTTCCTTTTGGAGTGTCTGTTGTGCGTTTCATTTTAGTCAGCAGTTTCCCACCCTGGGCACTGCTGTACTGGTCTCTCAGAGCTAAGGGCCTACTTCATATGATGCTAGAGCCATCTTAGGTGGGAAAAGTCCCCACCTGCAGAGGAGACAGTTCAGGCTGATGGAGAACAGGGAGGGTGAAAGAGCCTGGAAGATCCGTAGAAGCTGGCCCTCCTCATGCTTGGGCCTTTCTTCCAGGGTGGTAGGAGGAGGGGATTAAATGGAAACGCTGTTCTCGATGAGGGGAGGGTCCAGGTAGGTGTAGGGCAGCGCCAGGCCCTGGTTCCGTTCCCGGATGTCCCGTGAGATCTGGGCTAGACGGCTCTGGAAGGCTGCGATGCTCCGCTGTGGAGCCTCCTCGGTGAAGTGCTGGTCTGGATAGGTGCCCAGGTGCCGCTGGAAGAAAATCAGGTGCGGGGTCAGGATGATGTTCAGGACGGGATGGAGAATAATGAGAGACCACATGTGCCAACAAATACAGTCACGGTTGCTTCTAAGGACATGAATCAGCCACAGCTACTGTAAACGCAAACCCTTCAAACCACAACACCAAACCACCACTCCAGGCAACTGGCACAGAGCATCCCTGACACCCACAGCCCACGGAGTGTGGGGCCAGAAGCCTGCCAACCTAAAGTTCGTGCTCCCTCTGCTGGTAATCCTTTGCCTGTTACTCTGACTCAGTTTCTGCATGAGAAAATGCATGGATTGAACTAGAAAATCTTTAAAGGTCCCTTCCAGTGTCTGATCCACTGTTCTGTGAACTAAAAGAACACAATCACATTCATAACACAACTGAAATCAATGTAAACATGCTCCAGCAAATATGCCCTATTACCTCACAATTTCACAAAAGTCAACCCCTGAAGACAACCAGGTCTGAGGTATCTTCCCAATCACCCGACATAATGAAACTTTTGCCAACTCAATCGCCATCACCATACATTGTCACATTGTATATCATGGCCAACCACAATCAAGAAATATTGGGATGAACTTGAGTCGATGCCATCCTGTGGCAGTACAGGACTGCCCCTTCTCTAAAATCACATCACAACCAGTTCATGGTGTGGGCCTCCTAACCAGCTCACATTTCCCATCCAATATAACCTTCATACAATATAACTGTTGCCAATAACATTGATGTTTAAAAAATTCTTCATTTTGTTTTATTTTGCTGGCAAAGCCTCCTAAAACAGTACTAAATAACAGCAGTAAGAGTGGCATTGTTTTCTTGTCCCTGACTTTAATGAGGAGACCTCATTATTATTCTACCGTAAGTACAATGTTTTATTTTCTGAAATATACTTTTTATCAAAACTCTATAAACAAGTTTTAGTTTACTTTTTATTAGTAATGGCTGTTCATACTTATCAAATGCTTTTTCTGCCTATGTTGAGATGATTATATGGTGTGTTTCTTTTTTGACGTAACAAATAATATTGTTAGATTTCATAAGGTTGAATCAACCTTTCATTCCTTTCATTCTTAGAATAAACTAGACTTTGTCATGGTGTATTATTGTTTTACTATTTACTATTGGCCTTCATTGGCTGCTGATATATTTTTAAGATTGTCATAGCTAAGTGGAACAAGTTTATAATTTTATTTTCTTAATTACAACTAACATGTTGCAAGCACTTTACGTGGATTATAACAATGGCACAACAATCCTGTAAGACAGGTACTCTTATCATTCTCACTTTATAGCTAAAAAAAACTGAGGCTTGGAGATGCCCAATTACATACCCAAGGTCACATATGTGGGACATGTAGATCTAGGATGAGAACCCTCTACCTGAGACTCACCTCTTTTCTGAAGGGCACTACATTTGCCAAGTGCTGGTATCAGCGTCCCCAGTAAAACAGAACCCAGTAAAATGATTTGCGAAGCTTCTAGCCTTTTCTATACTTTCAAGCAGTTTGAACAACTTAGAAATTACTTGTTCCTTGAAGGTTTATTAGAATCTCCTTTGCAAGGGCAGAGAACAGATCCTTTACAACCTTTTCTGTTCATATATGATTTTCATCTCTTCTGGTGTTGTTTTGTTTATGTAATCATTTATTTCATCTATATTTCCACATTTGTTTGCCTAAAATTATAAATAGTATTTTCTTCTAATTTTTTCAATCTTCTCTGTATTAATGGCTATCTGTATTTTTTATTCCTAACGTACATTTACGTTCTTTTTTCTTGATCATAATTGTCTCTGGTTTCTTACTTTTATTGTTTTTTTTTTTTTTCAAAGAATCGGTTTTATGTCTTATGTCTTATGTCTTACCAAATTGACCTCCAATTTCTGAAACTATAGTGTAGCTGTCAAAAAAGTAGCACATAGAAATATGACAGACTGATTTGAAAGCCTACTTACTGACTGTGTGACCTTGGGTAAATTGCTTCATGTCTCTGAACCTGTTTTCTCCCCTATAAAATGGAACTACTATTTACCAAACAATTATATACTAGGCACTTTATTAAGCATTTTAAATATAGCTACTTATTTAATTTGTATTTTAAAATAGTGGACATGTGATATTTGATTTAATGACTAATACATGATAGATCCTCAAGAAGTGAGAGCTGCTATTATTTGGTAGTTGTTACTACAATTTTCTAGGTTAAACTTCCCACTGGCCCATGGGGAGGGAACCCTCCACCTTCATCCTCTTGCCTACTCATCCCTCTCCACCGTGATATTGTGGTTTATAACAAGAAATATATATTTGGTCTTCCTCTTATTCCTGGCACAGAGCTCTTAAAACCCTTATAATTTCGTGATAGAATGTTACAGGTGTCTTTTGCTATTCAAAATAAGCCCCTTTTAACCTGAGTTATTGAGGTGACTTCTGGAAAGTCCCTAAGGATGGGATGCCACTGGAATCAACCATAAGATAAGAAGGTTGGAACTTACAGTCCCATCCCCCAACCTCTGGGGAGGGGAGAGGGGCTGGAGGTTAAATTAATCCCCAAGGGCCATGATTTAAACAATCATGCCTATGTAATGAAGCCTGCATTAAAAAATCCCTAAAGTACAAGTTGAGAGAGCTTCCAGGTTGGCGAACATGTGAGAGCGTGGCACACCCCTTCCCATACACCTTGCTCTGCGCAGTTCTCCCATCTGGCTGTTCCTGAGTTGTATCTTCTTATAATAAACCAGTTATCTAGTAAACAGTTTCCTGAGTTCTGGGAGTTGTTCCAGTAAATGATCAACCCTGAGGAGGGGGCTGTAGAAATCTCTGATTTATAGCTGGCTGCTCAGAAGCACAGGTGACAACGACACTTCCTATTGGCAATTGTATCTGAAGTGGGGAGTGGCAGTCTTGTGGGACTACGCCCTTAACCTGTGGGATCTGACACTATTTCCAGATACATAGTGTCAGAATTAAGTTAAATTATAGGCCACCCAGGTAGTGTCTGAGAATTGCTTGGTGTGGGAACAACCCCCACACATTTGGTGGCCAGGAGTATTGAGTGAGAGTATTGAGAGTAGTAATAGAGTATTCTGTGAGAAGACAAAAAATAGAGTTTTTCCTTTATAAAAACAGAAGTGAATGTCTTCAAATCCTTGGGAGCTGAGACTGGAAAGAATCAGTATACAAGGGACGAGTTTCTAGCATTCCCAGGCTATGAGATGGTAAGTTAAAACTTGTTAAGGAGATAAATTATCTGGAGTCAAGCATGAGAAGTGAAGATATTCGTATAACGTCAGAGAACTTGTAAATAAGACCAGGAAGGCAGAGGCATTACTGATAACTCAATGTATAAATTGAGATGATGGTAATTGATGATTAAATGGCTGCTCCCCTATAAATCCTAGCCAACGTAACTGCCTCTTCTCTGTCATTACTGCCTCCAAATTTGCACCTCCCATTCATCTACACAGCCAAAGAAGCACTTTTCCTAAAACACAAATTTAGCCACGTCACCCCAGGCTTAAAACTCTTTGGTGGCTTCTCATTGTCCTCTGAATGAATACTGTGCCTTCGCTGAACCATTTGTGATCTTACAGACACACCAGCGGACTCTTGCCTTCATTTCACTTCAGTTCAATCTTCCTTCCCTCTGCCTAAAAAATTAACCCTGCCCCTCCTTTGTCTGCCGAACCCTTACTTGTCTTACAGGTTTCAGCTTAGATGTTACTTCTTCCAAGAAGCCTTACTGGGTTCACCCAGATTCAGTCAGGTTCCTCACCTCTACCACTGGCCCATGGGGAGGGAACCCTCCACCCTCATGAGGACAGGGTTCACATCATCCCATCAGTGTCTATCACATTGCAGGTGCTCAAGAAGTACATGTTCAAATGGAATAATTAGTACATTAATAATTCCTACAGCACTGTAGTGTCCTTTTTCACGTGTGTATATATCTCCTCAGCTAGACAGTAGGATTCTTGGAAACAGAAATGCTTAACTCAACTTTATATGCCTGGTGCCCAGTACTCTGTTGACATATGGAAGGTATACATATAGAATGTTTGGATGAATAGTGGTTGATGGATGAATGACTGATGGATGAATAAATGGTTGGATGGATGGATGGATGGATGGATGGATGGATGGATGGATGGATGGATAAAAAATAGGACAGAGAACCTGGGCCAATGTAAGGTTATTTATTTACTGAAATATTTATTGAATGCCTATTATATGCCTGACATAGTTCTAGGCACTGGGGATACAAGAGTTAACCAGATGGATGAATAAATGGTTGGATGGATGGATGGATGGATGGATGGATGGATGGATGGATGGATGGATTGGTAAACTGGTGAATTGAATGGATGTTGTACCCTAGTTACTAAACTGGTATTTGCTTCAATATATGTCTCTTGGGATAATTTCCTGAAGAAACTGAAGAACACAGAGCAATTCAGCAGTGGACATAAATGCCACCATCAGCCCCCAAGCTCCCCCTAAAATAGCTGCTACCACCACCACTGCCTAGGCCCTGCAAACCCCAATCCCTTTACCCCACCCTATATACACACCTGGTCCTTGGGCTCTTGGCTGACCAACCAGAAGAGGAGAAGGTTGTTACAGGTGATGTTCACTTCTGGGAGGGTCTCTAGGTAACTCTTCAGGGTGGTCGTCCCCTTGATCTGGGGTGGGGGCTGCCTCATGGATGATGGGGCATTGGGCATCCAGGCCCCAAAGTCATGCTGTGGAGACCCCCATCCCAGCTGAGTCAACTGGCCAGAGGGGAAGGACCAGCTCCATCAGCAGCAGCATCCCTGATACTGCCCCTACAATCCCAGGTTTTGCAGTTGGGAAATGAGGGGATTGTGGAAAGAGAGGGAGGGGTATAGGGTAGAAAGTTCTAGAAGTGGGGCAGAAGCCTGGCTCATCCCTTGTTACTCCCCACCCCAATGTTCCAGAACTGTGTAAAGTGAATCACCAAAGGAAAGAGGAGGACCCAGAGAGGAGGTAACCCTAGAAATGGGCCTTGGGCTGGCATACCACACAGAGCAATCTGATACTCCACTTGGCTGCGTCCTAACCTGACAGGAGCCCATAAATCCTACTCCCTACAAAACACCAGCTTAAGTTACCATTACAACCTTGGATCCAGCTTCACCCCAATCATCATTCAATACCAGCCTTTTACTCCACCAAGTTGCTACTCAAACCCCATCCCTAATCATAAACTCATCCCGACCCTGATCCACCCATGCTTTCAATCCAAACTCTAGCCTCGCGTGCATTGTGTGACCCAATGTCCCCTAGGCCTGCCCTCACCTGCCCACTGTTGACAGCGGCATGCTGGGCAGAGCAGTTGAAGATGATTGCAGTGAGGAACTTCACTAGCTCTTCTGAGGTGCACAGCCGGCTTGGGAAGCCTGGGTGTGGGAGGAAGGAAAGGGTGTGGATGGAGAGGACTGGATTCCTAGGGGCAGCTCTGGGCTGGGGCTCAGTACAGGGGGAGAGTGAGGATGTGAGGGTTGAACAATTGGCCACCACTGTCATTAGACTATGATTAGGGTTGGGCTGAGGTTAGAAATGGTCATCACCAAGGCTCATGGTTTCTAAATGGGGTCAGGATAAGAGCTGGGTGCTGGGATCAGACCAGAAATGCCCAGCCAGCAGAGCCCACAGAGCAAGAGCCAGATTCAAGCTGACAGCCAAGCTGCCTCTCTCTGACCACCAAGGCACTTCTGTCTGCAGCCCATATTGGCACTTAATGATTTAATTCTACTCAGTTCACCAAGATTTGACCAAGCACCCAGTAGTGGATCATCAGCTACTAGACTTAGCAGCAGGAACAGACAACCAGAATGTGCTACTCATAAGTTGACAGTGATGGAAGCAGAAGGAAGCTTTAAGGCCCAGGGCTTGGCTCTTTGAGGAGAGAGCAGGCAGGCAGGCAGAGCACTGGGGCTAATCGAATTGGGGGCACTCCCCCGGAGGAGGAGAAGGGGCCTCCCTGAGTAAGAGCGAGTGAGCTTTGAATGGAAAAAAGATGACGGAGGAAGACATTTCAGCTCTTGGCTCTCTTCTCTCTGTACCTCACTGGTCTCATTCAAGTTTACAGTTTTAACCATCTCCCACTGGCTGACAAGTTCACATCCCTGGTTCCCGCTGGCCCCTGAACTCTAGACTCAACAATGGGCTTAAATCTGCAGCTGCTACCTGACAGTCCCACCTAAGTGTCTATGAGGCATCTCAAACTTAACATCTGCAAAACGTAATGCTTGACTACCTACCCCCACACCCATCCCTCCCACAGTGGTCCCATTCAATACTCTTTACCCTGTGCACTGCTCTTTTTATTTCATACCACAAATATCAGCAAATACTTCCAAAAGTTGATTTTATCTCATTACCTCCAAACTCCGCCCCTACCCAGTCTCCATCATCTTGTTCCTGGATGAATCTGACTGCTTCCACCCTTATCACTGACAGCCGAAGTGAGTGATCCTTTAGAAGCATAAATCCAGTTATGTCACCCCTTGCTAAAACCCTCTAAGGGCTCCCCATCTCACTTACCTCACCAAGGCCCTGCTTGATCTGGCTCTGACTTCTTCTCTGACCTCATTCCCTTCTCGACTTTTTCCCTCTCACTCTAGTCTAGCCACATAGGCCTTCCTGATATTCCTCATGCCACCCAGCATGCTCCCACCTCAGGGCATTGCTCTCCCACCTCTGCCTTCACGCTCTTATGTCAGCTATCCACAGAACCAGCTCTCTCACTTCCTTCACATCCCTACTCAAACATCGCCTCCTCAGAGAGGCCTTTTCTGACCACCTATTGGAAATTACACTCTCACCTTGACACATTTAGTGATTTCTGATGCCGTATCATTCTTTTTAGCATTCATAACCACCTGACATATCTGTTTGTGATCTGTATCTCCCCGCAAGAATGTTAAACTCCATAAAGGCTGGAATTTTTGTCTGTCATATTCACCTAGAAGAATACTGAATACATATTAAGAGCTCAGTGATGACTGGTTGAATGAAGTGAATGCATGAGAGGGTAAGAAGCCACAGTGGGAAGGAATGGGGCATAAACAAGGTGAAGGGTCAAGGAGGGTACTTCTTAGGGGTGAAGTTGCAGCAGTGTGCCAAGCCAGGTGGTTTATGGGCACTATTTCAGAGGATTACCAAGGCAGCACTTCACAGGCTTGGCAGGCAAGCATCAAGAGGCTGGGAGAGGTGAGACTGGTTGAGAAGCAGCTGCCACAATGCAAGAATAGAGGACTGAAACTAGGGTTGTGACAGTGAAAAATAACAAGAATAGGGTTAGCCACCCAACTGGATTTAGGAAGAGAGGAAGGCAGAGGGGAACATGAGTCAAAGATGGCTCCAAAGTTTGGAGTCAGGAAGACTGGAGAGAGATTGATGCAACGGAGAGGTTTGGAGGAAAGGCTGGAGGAAAGGTTTGGAGCAGACAGAGAGGTTTGGAGGAAAGGCTGGGTATCTGACTCGGGGTGTGTAGGAATTTTCTGAATGTTCTGTTCGTGGTTGATATTCTAACCTCGAGGGCTGAGAATAATAAAAAAGTAAAGCAGTCAGATCACCTATGGGAATTTTTCTATAGCTCATGATACTTTTTCCCCTTAAAATATGTAGCAAAAGGCATACTGACTAAGGTTAATGAATTTCACCTTAAAACATATGAATCTAGGATAAGTTTGTATTGGTCGGGAGAGATGTTTGTCAATTTGAAGAATGTTTTGATGTGTTAAATCAGAGACAAGTTTAATAAAGTAAGATAGAACAGTTGAGCCAAGAGTAATTATATCCCCCTCTGGGTCTTAAATAGGAAACAGACAACCCCAAAGAGAACTGCCTCCAGAAAGAGGAGCAGTCAGAATCAGAACTGCCCATGATTAACAGTAGGCTTGCAAAGCATAAGGAGGGATCACCCTTTATAAGATCCAAAAGTGATCTGGCTGTCACTGCCTTTACCGAGAAATCACTCTTGGTATCACTAGTAGTGAGACAACCTGATATATGAGCCTCCCAAGATGATGCAATGTGGAGAACAGAGCATCACCTGAGAAATAGTCTTGCCAAAAGTATTTAACCTTTAGACATTACTTCCTTTAGATATTACAGGGGCTAGAGGAACAAAGAGAATGACATTATGAGGAAGCAATTAGATAAATTCAGAAGGTAAGACATTCTGTGGAACTAGTCCTGGCTTTTTAATAGTTCTTGTCAGATGCCATGTAATTTAAAAAGGGAAGGGGGGTGTTGTCCTAAAGAGACTTTAGAGTCAAAACAAATATATCATGTGGTCCTTGACTGACTCCAGAATCAACAGAATCATCTAAGGGAAAATGAGACAAATGAGTAAATTTGAATATGGATTAGGAAAGGGCAATATTGGAGATTATTGTCAATTTGGTTAGTGTAATGACAGTATTGTGGTTGTGTAGAAAAATGTCATTTTTTGCAATGCATATTGATTAGGAGTAAAATATGAAATATTATATAATTACTTTAAAAGACTGGCAGTGAATAAAAGCAACAGATTAATCAGATATGGTAAAGATGTTAGCAATTGTTGAATGTGGGTGGTGAGTAAATAGGTATTCATTACATTATACTCTATTTCTCTATGTGTTTAAATATTTTCGTTTAAAAAAAAAAAGCCTTGAAGCCAATTATAGGTAGGGCTGCAAAAGCTGTTCATTCTATTTGTGGGTGACCTGAGGCCATTCGTCCTCCCAGGATCTCCCCAGACAGGAACTCCTCTGGGTGGCCACCAGAAGCACTAAGTCAGCTAAAAGCCACATCCCTGCTGAGAGGAGATGTCCCAGGCAGTGAGTCTTCCACCCTTGGGCCAGGGCTGGGGGAACTGGAAGGTGGACATTTGTGCCCCTTTGAGCTTTTCCTTCTCTTCCACTACACCCAGATATAGAGGCCTCATCTGCATTTTCCAGAGCCTAATGTACCGACCACAGTACAGCAGCACTAGGGAAATAGGCTATGAAGAGTAGCAATGGGATGTATAAACCAAGCAAGGCCTAAAGTCCTTCTGTAGTGGGATGACTTATAGTTTTCATGTGCTGGTCTGAAGAGTGACTTCGAGACAGCTAACGAGAAAAGTCTTTCAGGGAATGGGAAGTGGGGGATTTCCAAGCATGGAATCATCTACAAAGGAGAAACAGGAGAAAGGATTATTCCATTAGGGAGGGGTAGAGAGAGGAGACAGTGATTCAATATAAGCCAACAGCTGGGATGGGGAGACGGCAGGGATCTGGGAAGAAGTGGGAGGTTCAGAAGAATGTGTTCTCCCTGGAGCTAAGAGAACACTTTCAGAAAGGTAGGGTGTCTGGGCACCTGCTTGGCACTGAGGTTTAGCAAAGTAGGTCTACCAGGGGGCTACTGGTGTTGGTGGGCCATAAAAGCCTCTCAGCCAGTGTCAGAAGAGAGAGGAAAGTTAGGGTTAGGTGACAGGAGTAAATAAGGAAGAATTAGGCAGCAGCAAACCAACCCACTCCTTGAAGCCAAAGGAAGTGAGAGGGGTTGATGGCTGGAGGGGCCACCTGGCAGGATAGTCATGAGATAGTATGAGAGAGGGTTCCAGAATCTTTTGTGTTTGAGGCCAAAGATGGCTCCTATCACACGATGTGACACATCCATAGAGCTCAGCAAGCAGAAGTGAATGGGTGGGCTCGGGCTTGTGAAAGTCTAGAAGGGACCGGAGGGGCACAGGGTTGTGGTTGAAAGCAAGCACTTTGGAGACGATGGGAGCTGGCTCTGGATCCTGCCTCTGCCACTTGCTGCGTAGCCTTCTTTGTGCCTATTCCTCATCTATTCAGTGGGGCTAATAATAGGATATACTTCAAAGGCTGGTCAATAAATAGGAACTGATTAATGGTGGGGCCAGGAGGAATACTAGGTCATTGGAAGCTTATGGTTGGAGGATACCTGAGCTTTCCCGGCCCAGAAACGCCCGAACAAAAATCTCGTTGACCCAGGCTTGCAGCTCCGAATCCTGCTGCACAGACGCGTCACTGGGATAATAGTAGCCCACGATTTCTGAGACAAAGCTGCAGGAAAGAGATGCCCATGCCATGGTGGTGACCTTAGGCTCAGGTCTGGCCAGAAAACCAAGGTCCACTGCCACTCAGGCTGGGAAGAGCCAGCTGGTCACAGTCCACTGAGAGTTCACAGGAGTTCAGTGAGGACTCTCAAATGCAGTTGGAACATGAGTGCCTAGGCTTCTCTCAAGTCTCACCCCCACTTCTGAGTCATGGGTGCTCTGGGCCTTCTTCTTGCACAGGCGGGCAAGAGGGTATAGAGGAGAGCCAGACTCATGCTGCATCCCCTCCCCACTCAGCACCCTAGAGAAAGGAAGACCTGCCTGCCTGGAGGCCCCAGTCTACGTCTAGATGTTTCACCTTCTCTGGGCATCCTGTCCTTCCCGTCCCTTCCTCCACTGTGTTCACACATAGCCCAGCCCCTCCAGCCCGAAGCTCCCATTTCACAGGAGACCCCAACCCCAACTCTCACCCTTGGGAGTGCTCCATGCTTGGGCCGGAGAACACCTGGAACCCCCAGCACTAACCACCCTAGTCTGCATGAGCACAGAGGTCCACACTGCCCCTGGGCTAGGAGGAGGCCCTGTTGGAGCCAGATTGACTACAGTGTCCCAGGCCTATACCTTTCAATGGCCGCCCAGATCTTCAGACCATCATCTCGGTAATGGTAGTTGGGAATGGTCATGACACCGCGGGCCCGCAGGCTGTCCGGGAGGCAGAAATTGGTGTAGGTGAAGTGAGCCAGACCGGTGCTCATGAGGTAGAGGAGGCCTTGTCTCCCTATGGACGTGACCTGAGGACACATCACAGCTCAATTCCCAGGCCCTCCCATCCCCAACCCACTGCCTGGGGACGAGATGGGACAAGTGACTCAGAGGAGGGGATTTTTCAGTTAATCAGGCAGTCCAAGACCACAGGTCAAACACCCATAGGGGCCTGACATGAGCTGCGCGTATTGCTGACCTACATGCATAGGAGGTAATCCTTAAGTATTTGGTAACTGAAAGAATGAACTGTTGTTAGGAAGGCAGAGAGACGAGAGCGGGGCTTGGCGCAGGGTCAGCAAGGAGCTGTGCTTAGGCGGAGGGTGCCCCATCCACCTCAAAGAGTATTTGGAACGGGGTCTGAGGGGGTGGGGCCCTTGGGCGTGATTGGTGGGCGGGGACAGGATTTGTGGGCAGGGCAAATAGGAGACTTGCGGGGAGGGGCGGGGCTTGCGGGAACTGGATGACAGAAACTGTGGAATGGGAATGGAGGCTCAACAGGCTTGAAGGCGGGGCAAAGTGTATTCCGGGGCCGTCCCTCAGAAACTGGGTGGGCGGGGGGCTGGGAGGCTGCACCTTGTCCACCAGGCCCTCGGGGTTGAGCAGCGTGGCGCGGGCGATGGTGTTCACCTGCAGCGTGTAGCGAGTGTGGGGAAGCAGGAGCTGCGAGTGGGATGAATTCACAGGAGCCGAAGGTCAGGGGAGAGAGCCACCCTGGCACCGCTCCCTCTGGCCCCTCCCGGGGGTCACACAGACCTTAAAGATAGGATGACAGAGCGGCAGCTGACGCAGCGTGGCCATGGCGAAGGCCTCGCACAACAAATGCGTGCACAAGAAGTGCGTGTTATGCTCGTGCACCAGGAACTCAGAGTTGCGCACCCACGTCTTAGCCAGCAGCCAGTCCCAGTCGGAGTCAGTGGGCAAAAAGATGGGGCTGTCGGGCCCCGGGATCTGGCTGAGCTGCATTCAAAAATAATAGGGGAGTGAGGCTCAAGACAGCCAGTGTGCCCCATGAGACTCCGCCCCCAGAAGTCCCGCCCCAGGCTCACCTGGATGGCCAAGGGCATTAGCGACCCCTCCGGGTTGAGCCACAACAGGCAGAGCGGGGCGGCCACGTACTGCTGGCGACGGTTTAAGCAGTGGACAGGGGCCTCCGCCAGGATCCAGTAGTCGGCTAGGAAGATGTGCCCCCTCTGGGGAAGGCGCAACAGAGCTTCAGAGTACCCTTCCCGCCCGAGCTCCACTTTCCTCCCTGTTCTCTGCCCACTCCTACCTCAGCACGGGCCTCAGTAAAGCTTGGTGCCTGCACTAATGGCCAACACTGGGTACCCCACCCTTCCCAGAATGTCCGGAATGAGGTCCAGCAGAGTCCCTTCTTGTGCAACCTCTCACCTGGCTTCCCAGCTTGGACAAGCCAGCACCCTCTCCCCCTCTACCCATATCTGGTCCTTCCTATTCTCACCACAGATGACCTCAGTGTATCCCACAACAGCAAAATTACCAAACACATCTCCAACCTTCTGCAGGCTACCTGAGGGGATTGGCTGCCCCAGAGAGACTGGATCATCAACTTCTTCCACACCCTCCAAGCTCCTAGTTCCGCATGATTGTTCCTGGGGTATCTAGTGGCACTGCCTTCGGTGTGTCCTAAAAGAGCTTTCTTCCGGCCTCAGCACTCAGGATCTTGGAGGCCCCAGAACAGAGGCAGAGCCTCCTCCTCCAAATTGTCCTGTTCATTCTTATCTCTTCAGTGAGCCCTGATCATTCAAATCATTTTACCAGACGCCATGTCAGGCCTCAAGCCATTCCAAGCCCCATTTAGCCCTCATTCACATCTACCATACTTAAAAGGTACAGAGTCAGGACTGCTCAGAAGATTAGGCCTGCAGGCTGGATGCAGCACCAGCCATCCCATCCTTACCCTTTGCACCAATCCTTTGTCCATAGTGGCAACTCACCCACCTCTAGCTCAGTCTGCAGGCAGGTGCCAGGTCCCAGCAAGTGGGCCACCATGTCATTGGTGACAGGCAGCTTGCTGGGCAAGCTGGAGAGGCAATGGAGCATGACAGGATTGACGCCATTCAGGAACTGGTACCCGAAAAAGTGGTCCTCATACCAATGCTCTGTTACATACTCTAGGGTTCAAGAGACAGGAGTTAGTTGGTCTGGAAACTACTTCCCTAGATCCTGCTCCTGCCCAGGCTTTTGTTCATCACTATGGTTTAGGTTTTCCTCACAGGAACCCTATGAAGTAGATATAATTCCATCTTCAATTTAACACTGGACACTGAGAGTCAAAGAGATGGAGTAACTTGCTCAGTTAACTGGCAGAACAGGGATTTGGACCTAAGTCTAGCCTCAAAGCCCAGAACTATTGGCGGGGGGGGGGGGGGCGGGGGGGGGTGGGGAGGGGGGGGATAGTTAGAAGAAAAGAGGCTGGTGCCCCTGAACAGGATCAGGACTCCCTTAATGACCTTTGATCTCTCCCAGGCAAGTATAGTATCTATCCATCCTCACTCCCCTATTCTTGTGTCTTCCCAGAGGAAGGAGAGATGTGTGGTCCTAAGGGCAATCTGTGAAACTTCTACCAGTGAAACCAGGAGTCCCTCCCACTGGAACCCAGCATGTCTCTGAGAGAGCTGGAGGAGGGTGCTTTCCTAGGATAAGCAGGGGGTCTGAGCATGAGGTAGAATGGAGGATGAACATCTCCTGCCTTGCTCTGCACACCTGAAGTGAAAGTCTTGTGGCACCAGAAGATATTCCGGATGTCATCCAGCTTCTTCCAGGACCCCTTTCGGTCTATCAGTCCTCGAAGCTTCATGCCCAAGGACCTGAGGAGGAGGAAAAATAAGGGTGGGGCCTGAGGCTGCCAGGGCACTGCGTCCCCAGCCTAAAGGCCCGGAGGAAACTGACAAGGTCAATGCCCAGAGCAGAGTGTCCAACAGTCCACATAGGAGAAAAAGTCTAGTGGCCAGCTGAGGCTTTGTAGAGGTGACTCCACATGTGTATGCAAAGGTGGCACATGTGGCCATGTGGTGCAGAAAAGTAATCGTCATTGGCATTTTGGGCTGCTTTCTCCAAGCTTCTATCTTGTTATAGACCTTCGCTGGCTCTCCTTTTCCTACAGAACAAAGCCCCAACTGCTAAGGCTGGCTAGGAATCTTCCTGCCAGCTGGTTTCTATCAATCTTTCTAGCTTTTTCTCCCACCCTGTGCCCTAGACAAGGCTAACCAGCACCTCTTTGCTAAATACAACCAGAGATATACTTTATACCCTGGACTGATAATGGTGAGATTAGCAACCCAAAGGACATGCACTTTTCACTTTGTGGATGTCTGTACTGTTTGAATTTTTTTTTTACAATAAGCATATATTATTTTATGATCAGAAAAAAATGTTTAAAGTGAAGTCTGCTTTCCCTCCTGTCCAGGGATTTGCTCAAGCTATGCCTCTTCTAGAAAGCCATCTTCTACATCTCTACCTACTATCAAATCTATCTGTTCTGTGTGCATTTTACATGCAACATCCTTCATGAAGCATAGTCTGATCACTCCCAAATGCATGCCTCTTGTGTATCTTTCACAAAATTCGTATCACTCCCTTTGGTACATTATAAACCCAATGTACTCATATCATTTCCCATTATACTACGGGCTCTTATGGCCATGACTTGGCTCTGTATGCCCCAACATACCTAGTTCATAATAATCATTCACTAACTGGGCCAAGTCAAACAGAAGGGAATGCAGGCAGGTTTGTGGCAACTGGTCAACAAGGTAGGCTGTGTAAGAATGCTGATGTGCTGTAAAGAGTGTGGGTACCTGGAGAGGGCAGAGGGCAAAGGGGAATTAGCAATGTGACAAGCCCAGGGACAACTTCCTGTGTTCTCACTAAGCCGTTCACTCCTCCTTCCACATGCATTTGCTGAGTGCCTGCCCAATCAGGACCCAGGGGATGGGAAAAACTGGGTAGGAGGAGGCAATAAAGGAGAAAGAAAGGGCTTTCCTTTTTCCAAGGTCCTGTCACAAATGTCCTTCACAACACCCCGTAGTAGCCCCACATAAAAGCCCAACTACTGTCCTCTCCTTTCCATGAGTACCTGGACAGCTGCCAAATGCTGGCTCCCTCTTACCACTGGCCCTTCTGTGAGCCCCATGCCAGCTGTCCTGGTGGTCTCCCAGGCCCTCGCCTGGCTAGACCTACATATCCATCTGGGGACCAACTCAGATGACTCTACCTTCTGAGATGCTCCTTGGGACCCTTGGCCCTGCCAGGGCCTCTCAGTGGGCCCTTGTCCTAAAGCCTGAGCCACCTGAAGCCTGCCTGCTCCAAGCTACCACAGACACTCTGGAGTCTCCTCCAACCTTTGCACCCCCTCTCACTAGTCCTTCTCCAAAAGAATCATTCTGGCACAGAGGCTCAGAAGATGATAAGCCAGCTCCTTGCCCTGGCCTCCTCTGGGCCTTCTAATGCAGCCACTGTACAGATGACCAGCTGATCCTCCCACTCCTCCTGCTAAGGTGACCTGGGTTTGCCAAAAACTCACCCACTCTCACCTTCCCTTTCCTCTCCCTAGCTCAAAGACTGTGTCTAAGGAGAGAAGGAGAAGAGCCTGAGGGGCAAAGAGAGGGGAGACTGGGGGCAGGGAGAGAGGAAACTGAGGCAGAGATGTGGCTGTGCATTAAAAGGACAGAGGCAGACAGGAGAGAGAACAGGAGTACAGAGAGGGCAGTTGCCTCACACAGGGATGGCATTGAAGATCAGCGAGGTAGTCTTGGTGGCTGAGTATCGAATATTGGGCTCCATGTGCAGCAGGGATGGGATGTCAATTTTCATGGGGAAGCCAGGCAGGTACCGATTCCCACTGCTGGGGGATGGGAGAGAGTAGGGGAAGAAGAACAGAGAACAGTCAGAGACCTTAAGCTCACTCTCCTTAATTCCTTTCCTCTCTCCTCCCCCAGAAGCCCCAGGCCTCCCTTACTCTGAGCTCTTCCACTGCCCTGTCCTCCTCCTCTCTACTAGGGACCTGGGCCACCCTTGCCCATTTTGCTCCTGACGCTTAAATTAAATTGCACTTATCATGACCCCAACTTCTCTTTCCAGGTGGTCTGGGTTCCATCCTCCCAATGGATCCTTCACTTCATATCCCTCCACCTTCTTCCCAAGCCTGGGTCCTCCCTCACTTGTCATCTTGGTTTGCACAAGGCGTTGTCTTGGTCAAGGCAAATTTTTTGTCTGACTCCATCTCCTCAAAGCAGCTGACGTCCACGATGCCAGGGTAGCCAGGGGCATAGACTTTCCAACTT